CCACGTGAAGCTCCGAATTTTCTCGGCCACGGCCATGCCCTCCCTTCTCTTTGCTGGCGAAACATGCAGCCCTCTAAAGGAACATCTGCACCGGTTTGAAACATTCATGATGGCTTGCCTACGATCCATCCTGGGTTTAACCTCGAGACTGGATTGCAGTGCGAAGAGCTCACAAATCCTTGCAATATCTGGACACATTCCCTACAGTGAGCTCCTCCGGCAGGCGAGGCTGTTTTGGCTGGGTAATGTAGCCCACGTGCCCAGCCACCGCATGCCCAAGCAACTTCTGTTCGGTCGGATAGATGGGGATAAACGGACGCGGCATGGGCTGGACAAGAGATATAGTTGATGTGGTACAAGAGGATGTGCAGGTGAGTGGAATTGCTGAAGACTGGTACCAGCGGTGTCAAGATCGGCCTCTGTGGAGGAGGCTCGTGAAGGACGCTACTGGGCGGTTAGAGGCAGTCGCCCTCCAACAACAACGGAGGGCGGAGGAGCGACGCTCACAACAACGAGCGGAGCGCCGGGTGGCTAAAGCACAGCAAGTTGGCACAGTAGGGGGCACAGGTGGTGCATCAGCCAGTCAACTCGGTCATCTCAGTCAGTCGACCCGTGGCACCTGCTGGGTCTGCTCTGTGACCTCCTGCCAGCGGGCGTTCGACACTTCACGTGGCCTAAAAGTGCACATGGCCTGGCACAAGCGTCGTGGTGACGTCACAGCCACTGAATAGTGAAGATCGGCTGTTGTTGTTGTTATGTACCTGTGTGTGTACACAAATACAAAGATTCCCCATGTTGCCTCAACATAATTTTGGGGCAAGTGCTGTTAGCGAGTCGCACCTATAAAGGCCGGCACAGCACACGAGGGGTTGGGTGGCCAGCACCACCCCCGGCCGCCTTTGTCTCCGCATTCGCGATGTTTCCCCACCGCACCAGGTACTCATCTGAGGCCGAGTCGACCTAGGGGAGGCCCAGCTACCGCTTCAAGACAATCGTCACCGGCGGTGTTGGTGGTGATAGCCGCGAGCGGGAATCGAACTCGGGTGGCCGGGTTCGTGGCTGTGTGGGGGGAGTCCCACCGGGCCCCCTTCCCCCCCTACTCCCCATCTTTACCCCCCTAACCCTCCTCCCTCCCCTCCACCCCATCACCGAACATCGGAGTTTCATTCGCGCAGCTGCCTTGGCTCCGAGTCGACCTAGGGGAGGTCCAGCACCGGGCCTCAGATCATTGTCGGCGGCGGCGTCGCGCTCGGCGCTACGCTACGAACCCGGCGACTCCAGTTCGATCACCGCTCACGGCCAACACCGGTGACGATTATCTGAACCCGGTCCTGAACCTCCCTAGGTGGACTCAGCCTCAAGTGAATACCTGGTGCGGTGTGTAAGACATCACCACTGGGGAGAGACAAAGGCGGCCGTGCCAGCGTGGTTGCTGGGTCACCCGCCCACTTCGTCGTGTGCCGTGCCGGTCTTCATAGGTGGTGCTACTCGCTACTAACAGCACTTGCCCCTACAGCCCAGCTATAGGCTACACGGGGAGCTTTGTCTTTGTAGTTGAGCGGGGAGCGCTCCTACACGCTTGGCCAATCCCATGTAATACCCCTTCGCTCGCTCCACTGCTCCCCCTCTGCCCCCCCCGCTCCCTCCCCATAGCAGCTGCGCCCCCTCCCCCTCCACAACTCTCCTCCTCCCGCAGGCTCCATCCCTCCCTCTCTCTCCGTCCATATCTCTCGTTCTCTCCGTGCATCACTCTCTCCGCTCTCTTTCTGTCCCTCTCTCCCCCCGTGAATCTCTCTCAGTGCATCCGCTATCTCCCGCCCTCTCCTCTACCCATCTCTCTCTCCCTCTCGCTTTTCCTCTCTCTGCGCATGAATCCATCTCTCTGTGCATCAATCTCTCCCCCCTTCTCCTCTCCCCCCTCTTTCTGTTTTTTTACGATCAGAGGAAACAAGAAGATGCTCGGTGTAGTCGGAACTTTGCTTCGTTCATCATTTAGTTTTTTTGGTAATTTTTCAATGCTTTTATTCTGTCTCACTCTCTCCCATCCCATCCATCCCTCCCTCTCTCCCACTCCCTCCCTTCCTCTCCCTCCCCTCTCACCCCCGCCCTCTCGTCGTGCATATCCTCGCTGCCAACGCCTCGAGTGAAGCCGCGCAATTGAAATCGCATCTGGGAGCCATCACGGCTGCCGCGATATTTGCTGACGCACAGCATGGGAGGGGGGCGGGGCTGGGGGTGGAGGAGGGGGGGGGGCGACCCCCCGCGCGTGCTGGAGGCGCCGTCGCCGCGAGGGGAGGGGCTCACTCCGAGAGCCCCGATGGGCACAGAAGTCTGCGCGTCTGTGCAAGCGACAACAGAAGAGGGCTTTATAGCTCATCGGATTTCCTCCTTCGGTATGAATACATCTGATGCGGATTCTGCGAGGAGTGCCTATCGGGGGAGCATTTGTCCTTCTGCCAGTAGCCAGGGCGATGATTGCCGCTGCTGCTGCTGATGCTGCTGCTGATGATGCTGCTGCTGCTGATGTGGTTATAGCCAAAGGGGCACGCCCATTGGCTGCTGTCCCTGTGCATTGATTCCGCTGTGAGTAAAACTAGAAGCATGAAACGATGTTCTTTTTGAAATTGTACCCAGGTAAGGTGTCCACTGAGCGATGTAGCTTCTCTTATCAGAAGCGACCTGGATAACACGAATGAGAGCTCAACGAAATGACGCCTTATCATCATCACCATCATCGCGTGGACATGTATAGCAGCAGCCGAATACTCTCAAAACGCGTGGTGTTGAAATGTAGTGGGGAAAGACTGGAGGACCCGGAGACAGATCCACGCGACCACGGGGAGAGAGAGAGAGACGCAAACTCCAAGTATACAGCAGCAGACGCCAGTGTCCCAACAAAACCCAGGACCTGCTGCACATCATACGAGGTAGTGAACATCTCCTAGCCACCGTGCTAATGATGAGAGAGAGACGCCAACTCATAATCTACGGAAGGCATCAGGGTCGGGATCTAACCCACAACCTCCTGTATCCCAGGCGAGATGGTTAACATCTCCGAGCCACCGTGATAATGATGAGAGAGAGAAGCCAACTCCTAATCTACGGAAGGCATCAGGGTCGGGATCTAACCCACGACCTCCTGCATCCCAGGCGAGATGGTTAACATATCCGAGCCACCGTGATAATGATGAGAGAGAGAAGCCAACTCATAATCTACGGAAGGCGTCAGGGTCGGGATCTAACCCACGACCTCCTGTATCCCAGGTGAGGTGGTTAACATCTCCGAGCCACCGTGATAATGATGAGAGAGAGACGCCAACTCATAATCTACGGAAGGCGTCAGGGTCGGGATCTAACCCACGACCTCCTGTATCCCTGGCGAGGTGGTTAACATCTCCGAGCCACCGCGGCGCTCAGCAGGCAGCGTGATGATTGTTGCTCCTGCTGCGTGGAGCAGCCTAGGGGCACCCCCAGAGGCAGCTGTCTCTGTGTAAGAGTCTGCAGGCAAGTGGCAAATCCTATTATTAGTAATATCATACAGAGCCCACGTCTCACCCCACAGAGGCCTCGTCTCACCCCCCACAGACCCCTCGTCTCACCACACAGACCCCTCGTCTCACTACACAGACCCCTCATCTCACCACACAGACCCCTCATCTCACTACACAGACCCCTCATCTCACCACACAGACCCCTCATCTCACCCCACAGACCCCTCGTCTCACTACACAGACCCCTCATCTCACCACACAGACCCCTCATCTCACTACACAGACCCCTCATCTCACCACACAGACCCCTCATCTCACCACAGACCCCTCATCTCACTCCACAGACCCCTCATCTCACCCCACAGACCCCTCATCTCACCACACAGACCCCTCGTCTCACCACACAGACCCCTCATCTCACTAAACAGACCCCTCATTTCACTACACAGACCCCTCATCTCACCACACAGACCCCTCATCTCACCCCACAGACCCCTCGTCTCACCCCACAGACCCCTCATCTCACTACACAGACCCCTCGTCTCACCACACAGACCCCTCATCTCACCACACAGACCCCTCATCTCACCACACAGACCCCTCGTCTCACCACACAGACCCCTCATCTCACTACACAGACCCCTCATCTCACCACACAGACCCCTCATCTCACCACACACAGAGGCCTCGCCTCCGCCATTGTCTCACCCACACAGGACCCTCATCTCCTTCAGCTGGGAATCGCGATAATTTAACTCACTGCCATCTGAATCAAACAACTATTTAAAAAAAGTGTACCATGTCAGGTCCCACTGAGCCATGTAGCTCTTTCTCAGAAGCGACCTGGCTAACACAAATGAGAGCTCAACGAGCTGGCGGATTACCATCATCACGTTAAAATGTATAAACCAACGATTTTCAATGTGGAGGGAAAAACTGGAAGGCCTGGAGAAAATTCCACACGACCACGGGAACAGAGACACCGCAAACACTAAATAGACAGCAGGCGTCAGGGTCGGGATCGAACCCACGACGTCCTGTATCTGTCCCTTATCTGGTAAAAATACAAATAATGATGAGTAGTATGTTTGGGAACTTGGTCAATGCTGTTGTCAGCAGAAGAGCAGAGTGGCCGGAGAACAGCCACGCGCTCAAGGGAAGTGGCCTGGGTCCACCACTCACGCTCCACCACTCACGCTCCACCACTCATGGTCCACCCTAAGCCGCATCCACTGCGCAAACCATGACAGCAGCACACGCGGATGGCAGCTGATGCAGCACAAATGTGAATTAGAAAAAACCTCAACTCTCCCGTAGCGGTGCAACTGCAGTCATCTACAGCAGAGCGCGAACGATTTGATGACAATGCCCCGATCCGCACAAACACGAAGAAGGAGACATCGCGGCGATGACGATTCACTCCTCCACTTGGCTCCTGACGCGTTTATCTGACTCGACCAAGAACAAGAAGAAGGAGGAGGAGGAGGGGGAGAAGAAGATGATAATTACCTTCTGGAGGAACTGGGATCCCGAGTATCTGCTGGAGATGGACTTGATCTCTCCTCCAAAGGCAGAGGCCCAGAGCTTCACTCTGCGAGGAACAATGGGACAGACAATCTGACTACCCTCCTTCTCCTCCTCCACAATAACAACAACAACAACAGCCACAACAATAACCGCCTGAACAGGCTGTCGGGGGCAAGTGCTGTTAGTGAGTTGCCACACCTATGAAGGCCGGTACTGTGGCACACGAGTGGGTGGGTGCAGTGCCGAATGATGGTAGTAGCAAAAGTAGCTACACGTGTAGTAGCTGCTGCACGTGTAGCAGCTACTACACGTGTAGCAGCTACTACACGTGTAGCAGCTACTACACGTGTAGCAGCTACTACACGTGTAGCAGCTACTACACGTGTAGCTGTTACTACACGTGTAGTAGCTGCTACTACACATGTAGCAGCTACTACACGTGTAGTAGCTACGGGCCCCGCACTTTCAAGGTCCCCGTGTTAAATGATTTCAAGCTATCAATTCCGGTTCAGGGATTCTGCACTTGCTCTATTGCTATGGTACTATACTGCCTTCGACGTTTACGAATGACTGGGTGTTTGAGGTGAGCGATTTGCTGTATTATCTGGCTGTATAGCAAATGAATAAATACATTTACTTTACGATACAAGTAAATAAATGAGTGTTTTTTGTATTTTTTGATTTTATGGCCCCTTTATAACATATTCTACAGACCCCGCACTAGCTTGATCCAGCACTGGGTGGGTGGCCAGACAAAGATCCCCCATCGAGTCTCCACATGCTGTCGGGGGTCAGTGCTGTTCGCGAGTCGCAGCACCTATGGAGGCCTGCAGGGTGGCGCACGAGGGGGGCTCGGTGGGGAGCCCCCACGCTCCACCGCGTTCGTCTCAGGTTCATTCATTTGGAATAATATTCAAATATAGAATCATTTGGAATAACCCTATGAGCCATTCGGCTCTTGATTCGGGTGCAACCGCAACAAACAATACAATTACAAGATACATTTAACATTTACTGTATGCAAATTTAAACATCCCCTACAAAAACAATAACATCTTCCAGAGAAAGCACCATTTATTTATGCTGCGTACAAAAATGTGCAAAAAATACCATTTTGATGTTAGATCACAATAACAATCATAATACAATATAGATAAAAAATGTAAGTATAACTCTATACTACATCAAAAAATCGGGCTAAACTAAACCTTTCTAGAAATTACTAAAATAATGCTAGAAAAACAATGTAACAGTGATCATAAGAAATGTGATTGAAAGTTTACAATAGCGACATGCACAACGTATATTACTAAACCTAGCATCCTTCACTAGCGGCATGAGTCAATCCATAATAGCAGGAGCAACAATCGTAGTAGCAGCACACTCGATGCCACTTAGTGGCAATGACATCACCACGGCGCTTGTGCCAAGCTATGTGCACGTTGAAACAACTAAGACAAAGTTCCCCCGTATATCCTTCACAGACTATGGGGGCAAGTGCGGTTAGCGAGTAGCACAAATGAAGGACGGCGCGACACACAAGGGGCTGGGTGGCCACAGCACTCACCACCACGCGCGGCCGCCTTTGTCTCCACAGTGCCAATGGGTTTACACACCGCGCCAGATGCTAACTTAAGGCTGAGTCGACCTAAGGGAGGCGCAAGACTGGTCCAGATAATCGTCACTGCAGTCAATCGAACTTGGATCGCCGGGTTCGTGGTGCGGCGCGCAAACCACTGCGCTACCATCTCGACACACACACACACGTGTACCATCTCCACACACACACACACGTGTACCATCTCCACACACACACACACACGTGTACCATCTCCACACACACACGTGTACCATCTCCACACACACACACGTGTACCATCTCCACACACACACACACGTGTACCATCTCCACACACACACGTGTACCATCTCCACACACACACACACGTGTACCATCTCCACACACACACGTGTACCATCTCCATACACACACACACACACGTGTACCATCTCCACACACACACACACACACGTGTACCATCTCCACACACACACACACACACGTGTACCATCTCCACACACACACACGTGTACCATCTCCACACACACACACGTGTACCATCTCCACACACACACACACGTGTACTATCTCCACACACACACGTGTACCATCTCCACACACACACACACACACGTGTACCATCTCCACACACACACACACGTGTACCATCTCCACACATACACACACACACACGTGTACCATCTCCACACACACACACACGTGTACCATCTCCACACACACACGTGTACCATCTCCACACACACACACACGTGTACCATCTCCACACACACACACGTGTACCATCTCCACACACACACACACAAGTGAACTATCTCCACACACACACACACGTGTACCATCTCCACACACACACACACACGTGTACCATCTCCACACACACACACACACGTGGAAGGATTGCTGCCAGATCATGGGACAGACCCAAATGGCACACGTGTGTGTGTGTGGAGATGGTACACGTGTGTGTGTGTGTGGAGATGGTAGCGCAGTGGTTTGTGTGGGGGAGTGGTAGTTTAGCGGTCAAGTTCGATTCCCGCTCACGGCCAACACCAGTGACGATTATAATCTGAACCGATCCTGGGCCTCTTCCCCTAGGTCGACTCAGCTTCAAATGAGTACCTGGTGCGATGTGTAAAAACATTGGCACTGGGGAGACAAAGGCGGCCGCGCGTGGTGCTGGCCACTCACCCCATCGTTTGCCGTGCCGGCCTTCATAGGTGATCGCTAACAGCACTTGCCCCAACAGTCTGTTAAGGCTATACGAGGGATCTTTGTCTTTGTGCTCACACACACGTATACAACAACAGTCCCCCTTCACCATTCAGTGGCAGAGACGTCTCCATGGTGCTCGTGCCAGACTAGGTGCATTTTGAGGCAACGTGAAGTGTCGAAGGCTTGCTGGCAGGAGATCATGGGACAGACCCAAATGGTACCATGGGTCGACTGACTGAGATGACTGACAGATGCACCCCTGTGCCTCCTACTGTGCCAACTTGCTGTATTTAAGCCGCCTGGCGCTCCGATCGTTGTTGTGAGCGTCGCTCCTCTGCCGTTCACTGTTGTTGGAGGGCGACTGCCTCCAACTGCCCAGTAGCAGCAGCGTCCTTCACGAGCCTCCTCCACAAAGGCCAATCTGCTAGCGGTCATTGGCAAGTCCACTCAGCTCCGCATTCTTCCTTGCCGCATCTCCTATCTCGACTCAACACGCATTTAAGTATTTGTTTTTTACACATTCCGTCAGCTACACGGTCTTCACACTCGGAGTGCATCTTATAAGCACTATTGGATCAACATAAGCGAAAGCACTCTAGCGGTTTCGACATGCAGTGTCTCAGCAGCAGCAGCAGAGCCAGGCTCTGCTTGGATGAATGCCGGTGAACTAGCAGATGGTTATAGACACGGACTAGTTCGACACGAAACGATTTAAGTCACAACCCCCATATACTCATAAACATTGCAAGGAGGTGGAGGATGATCATTGAGATGGTGATGGTGGAAGGATATGAGACGGATGGATGGATATGAGATGATGGAGATGATGATGGTGGAGATGATGATGGTGGGAATTGGTGATGAGATGGAGATGATGGGAGATGATGGTGGTAATGATGGATATGAGATGATGTAATCAATATTGATCACAACAACAACCAGAACAACAACTATACCAACAACAACTATACCAACAACAACTATACCAACAACAACCGCACCAACAACAACCACACCAACAACCAACAACAACCACAACAACCACCACCACGGCAGCCCCCGGATGGCCACGTGTCTCCCCCCACCCCATCCCCTCGATCCTCTTAGCGACTCGCCGGAGCGCCCACAGCGCCCCCACCCCGCCTCGCCCTCGCACAGACAAAGCTCCCCCGGGTAGCCCGCGCACTTTGCTGGGCCAAGTGCCGTAAGTGACGGTCGCCAGCACCACGGTCGCTCGCCCGCCCGCCCAGCCGCCTTTGTCTCCCCATCGCTGATTGCAGACGAAGCGCGGCACGCTAACCGCTGCGCCACCGCTCCACACAGACAAAGATCCCCCGTATAGCCTGTAACAGGCTGTAGGGGCAAGGGCTGTTATGAACACGAGGGCGGTGGGTCTGGCCAGAACCAGTCCCGGCCGCCTTTGTCTTCATAGTGCTGATGTACACACAAAGACAAAGACAATATATACACACACATAGCCATATAAACACACACACAGCCATATATACACACACACAGCCATATATACACACACACACATAGCCATATACACACACACACATAGCCATATATACACACAATACACACAACCATATCCATATATAGACACAATAACGCACACATAGCCATATATACATACATACACTACATACAAACATAAGCATATATACAAAGACAAAGATCCCCCGTATAGCCTTAACCAGACTGTTGGGGCAAGTGCTGTTAGCGAGCAGCACCTATGAAGGCCGACACAGCACACGAGGGGATGGGCGAGTGGCCAGCACCGCCTTTGTCTCCCAAGTTGCGATGTTTACACACCGCACCAGGTTCTCAATTGAGGCTGAGTCTACCTAGGGGAAGCTATAGACTGCTTAAGACATTCACTGTCAACGATGTCGGGCCGTGAGCGGGAATCGAACTCGGGTAGCCGGGTCTGTAGCGCAGCGCGCTAACCACTGCGCCACCGCTCCCCATACAAAACACACTGACATACGAACGTACAGCAGACATACGCGCAGGCAGAAACACATTCAAACACACAAACATACGGTACATAAACACTACACACATACATACAAAGGCAGGCACACATACACGCAACGAATATAGACACAAAACCACATATATACATACATACAACACCATACAACAAACCTACAGACATAGGTAAAAACATAAATACATACATACACGTACAAAAGGCAAAGATCCCCCTTATAGCCTTAACAGACTGTTTGGGCAAGTGCTGTTAGCGAGCCCCTATGAAGGCC